GAAGGCAATATATTGCCACCTAGATGAATTAAGTCGCATGCCATTTTGTGTTCAAAACTAACTGTTTTCATCAGCTCCAAGCATAACTGGGAAAGCTGGTTTCAATCCCGTTAGCTGATCTTGAAACTATGTGCACACATATAAATATTTATTTTTTCCCCTCATGAATTATATTGTTTGCCCAAAAAATCGGTTAATTATTTCATCTAGAAACAGTGTGAATTATGTTGTTTGAATTTGGTATGTTCACTCTGTGACAAGTGATATGTAATTCATGCATAGTATGGTGATTTTTGGTTTCAGGATGTAAAAAATGAAATTTACTTACTGATAAAATTCAGTGTAACCATATTCATTAAGCCTCTCATTAAGTGTCCATATCATTCATTAAGTGTCTCTCTAAGCCCTACCTCCTCAATACAAATAAAACTCTGCATAGCTGGATAGGACTAAATAGGTTTTTAATTTTACTGACAAAAGTATGATGCATCAAAACACCCAATTTTTTAGACCAGCTGTGAATAATACTTCAATTAAACCCAAAAGAATTTTTATGGTAAAGAAGTAATTATAGTATCTCAGTAAGTGGAATAATTGACCATCGTTATGGAAATTATGTAGGCTGAAGTATTTAAAATGTTTAAGAATGTATAATTGTTGGTTTTTAACCAAAGCCAAAGATATTTGAAAACAAAGTATGATATGTCAGTCAGTCGGTGCTCATCTATCGGTGTATTATTTGTAAAAAGTGTCGGTAGTCACAATGGTGACAATAACATTTGTGTGGTTAATCTGGTTGAAGCAGAGAATTTAATTGATCTCCTGATAAAAGGCATGTTTTCTTGGGGTTGTAGCAAAGGTCTTTCATGAATTCTAAGACAGCCCAGTTGCCAATTGTATTGAACCAAAGCTATTAGACAGGGTACAATTACAGCTTTTTTTCAAGATATTATTAATTACAGTATATATTATAAGATGCAACTGACAAATGAAGTATTTCAGAAAAATATTTACCCTAAAATTATTAGTGACTTGTGCCGTGACTAATATTATGTTACAGCTTTGGTTCAAATTTCATAAATCATGAACCGATGTACAGTAACTGCAAATGTAAACAAATAGGTGAATGCACACCCAGTATACAGACTGTTAGTTGCCTTTAAAACTCCTAAGTCACATATCACTGATATAAGATTTGTAGTAAATTTGTTGTTTCAAGATCACTGTATATTATTTCTCATGATTCAGGTGATACATCCCACATGATAAAGATGATAGGCCTACATCCCACAAAATAAATATGAAATTAACTCACACACACAAAGGTTTCAAGATACTATGTATAATTTCATTCACAACTGTATTTTAAACTACATACATACGGAAACCAACCTGTCACTCGACCGGTTAATTGTTTCAAAATATTCTGCTTTGATAACTACATGTTTAATACACATGAAGAATTTCGTTTCCATAGATGCATGTCCCCTCTGATTTATCCTTCCATAAAAGTACAATAAAATCCCAAGTGATATTCTTTGGTCAATGCATAAAAATTACTTATAATCAACAATGTTTATTTAATTCTTTATAAAACGTCGCACACAAGCAGCTGCATTGGATACAAAATAGACAGTTTAAAGACAGTCGATCACTCGACTAGTTTTCGCTCAGTTTGATCTTCGTCCTTCGATCTTTGATAAGTATTACCGTTAGCTATTCCACAATTTGTTGAAAGAAAGCTCGTAGAATGCATAGATAATATATACCCACTTTTAAATCTCACTAGGAAAGTTTTATTTATCATAATAATATAAAAACTCGAAAACGTCGCGCCTTCGCGCTGCCATGTTTGATAAAATCAATCGGGTCCGCTCCCCCCGGATTGGAAACTAAATTATTACGAAATGTCCAATATTTTTGGACACACGTGACCAGTGTTTACCAGGAGCTTGTAACTCGAGAATCTCAGACATGGAAGCCAAAAATGCACTTTACGAAGCTGCCTTTAGTCCCCTAAACCGGTTTACCGACCACGAGGACAATAGTATTGACGACCAACTGTCAATTGTGGCGGGAAACGACCTTTGTTCTCTGGATGATATAAACGGGGAAACAAAATCCCTTAATCCGGCTATTAAGCCACCATGCAGATATGGTTATTAAACTACCAGATACGGCTATTAAGCCACCAAGTACAGTTACTAAGCCGACAGAGAATTCCTCACTGCCAATGTCGCCGTTAAACGAGCGAGCTGAACTCGAACAACCGGGTGCGGTGCCATTTGACCCAGAAATACAAACTAATTCGTGGTCGCCTTCACAGGTATTTCATAGTTTCCTTGAGAAACAGTTTCGTAGAAAATTTTCATATGAACAAGTTTACGATATTTTAGAAGAGCAGGCAATACCTGCAGTTGATGTCCTTATCGCTCCTACCCTTGATCTTAGCGTGATCAATCAAATTCCACATCAAAACAAGAAATTTGTTCAGGAGCGTGATAAGAAACAGAGCGTTATTCAACGCGCCATGCTAAACGTTACGGGTCCTCTATTTTCGCTTTATGACCGACTTGAGAACAACAATACAATCAATCCGTCAGATTTAAAACTTGTGATTGAACAGACCTTTTGTCTTTTAGGCTCCGCAACACACACAGCTGTCAATTTTACGCCGGAAGAAAGCTCTGGCTTCTGTAAACAAATCAAAAATAGATTTGGCTAATCTGCCTTTGCCTAATGCCAAAAAATGGCTATTTGGGGGAAGATTTCCCAGTGATTGCTTCTAAAGAAGCTGATCTAGCTAGGGGATTAGCAAAGGATGTGGGCCAAAACGATCCAAAACATTACACAAGACATGCAGATTTCAAACCAGGTATGGGCAGTAATATCCAGCCGAACTATAATAAATATCAATGCAATTGAGGCAAAAATAAGTTTTTTCGGTCCCACCGCGGACTACCGCGGCAAAACTCCCCCTTTATCTCAAACAATGGGAAACAGTAACTTCAGATCCAGAGGTTCTAGCTATTGTGAAGGGTCTCAATATTCCCTTTCATCAAGAACCTCACCAGATGTCTCAAACAATAACAAAAACACCCCGAGAGGTGGAATCAATCTTGGATCATGAGGCACAAACTCTCCTACAAAAGTGGGCAATCTGTCAGACGACACGTTCAAAGGACGCCTATTACAGTCGAATCTTTCTAGTTCCGAAGAAAGATGGCAGCATGCGCCCAGTGATAGATTTAAGCTCATTGAACAACTTTGTGGAAAAAAACATTTCCAAATGGAAAATTTGTCTTCAATCAAATCACTCCTCAAACAGGGAGACTTCATCACAAAACTCGACCTGAAACATGTATACTTAACAGTAGCAATCAATCCTCAATCACAGAAATTTCTTCGTTTCATTTGAAAAACAAGGCATACCAATTCAAAGCCCTGCCATTCGGGCTGAATGTAACCCCTCTAGTATTCACCAAACTGTTGAAACCAGTTGCAGCATTTCTAAGGAAGCTCGTCCTATATCTGGACGACATGCTAATTATCGGCTCCTCTGTTCAAGAGACTACGAAGTTCACTCAAATAGCTATGGACCTCCTCACTTCCTTGGGTTTCACTGTACACAAGGAGAAATCAATAACAACCCCAACCCAGATTATCACCTTTCTGGGGTTTATCATCAATTCAAACTCCAGACAGTTAAGCCTACCCTCAGAGAAAGTGAAGAAAACTTTAATACTCTGCCGTCAAATGCTTATGGCAAAGTCTGTCTCACTGCCCATGCTAGACCAGCTCCTAGGTGTACTGGAGTCTCACCGTCCAGCTATTTGGAGGGCCCCTCTGCATTTTCGCCATCTACAAGCACAGTTAATCAGAGATTTACCGAAACACAATCACCAGTACAACATCAATACCAACTTGTCAAATGCCTCCAAAATGGAACTAGCATGGTGGTTGGAGAACATACGACAGGTGAACGGGTGCCAAATAGTGGCGCCACCTCCAGATATAATAATATTTACCGATGCGTCGAAAATGGGTTGGGGGCTGTTTGCAACAATGTCAGGACGAACGGCAGATGATCATCTCAGGAGAGATCGTTGCACATCAACCTACTCGAACTGAAAGGGGCATTATTAGCAATCCAATCACTGCTAAAGAACCATCGCCAGGTAACGGTCAGTCTGAACATGGACAACTCAACAGCTGTCTCTTACATCAACCACAAGGGAGGGATCCACTCCCCGGAACGTACTCAGATAACACTGGAACTCTGGAATTGGTGCATTCACAGAGACATTTATCTGGTTGCCCACCATGTTCCCGGAAAATCCAATGTCCTAGCAGACACAGAATCAAGGGCTTTCCAAGACGAGACGGACTGGAAACTACACTCTCAGGTAATCAAACCTTTCTTGTCTCAGTGCTGGACAGACCTCTTTGCCAGCAGAATGACTCGCCAACTCAAACAGTACATAAGCTGGAGACCGGACCCAGAGGCCTTCAAAACCGATGCTCTAAATGTCAGCTGGAGCAGTCTAAAAGGATATGCCTTTCCCCCTTTCAATTTGGCGCCAGCTGTTCTGAACAAAGTTCTGGTAGACCAGACAGAGATAGTTCTGGTTGCTCCGGTTTGGCACAGCCTTGGTCATTCTCGTCCCCAGAGCCATTTTCACTCGGTCACTCGTTGAAATTTAGGCTCTGGATTAGACGACCAAAGAGAGAGATCTGATTGGCTTCTCAGAGAACTGCTATTTCGCAGAAGTTGAGTTCGCTATGCAAAATTATTCTATCAACATATGTCAACACAAATAGTGCGTTTCTTCGTAATACTTCACTGTAAAAATTGTTACGGGTGCTAAAGAGTCCCAATTCAAGAACATGCGCTTTAGAAACTACTGCAAGTTTTCTTGCACTTCCGGTTCCGTGTGTCCCAGGGCCTAGGGAGGACGCGAGAGGCCCTGGGGACGAGGATGAGCCTTGGTGGCCACTATTTCTGAGCCTGCTGACTCAGGAACCCAGGCTTCTACCGAACATGAAGTATTGTTGTTAAGATAACTGTATTTTGTAGTTAATTTGTAGTTGACATTTATAGTTGACATTTCAAAACAGTAAACTTGGGCAGCCAATGTCCAATGAGGGGTTGCTTAGCGACGGGTTTTAAGAACGTTCGAAAAACGTTGTTCGTGTCATTTTATGAGGGAAATATTACTTTTATTATTGTTCTTTTCATTTATTTTTGTAAAATTAAAGTTTATAAACCGAGTTTCGAGTCTTGAGAACATATTTTTGGCGATCCTGCCAGGACATTGGAGTTTTATAATGATATAATCGTGATCTTTCGTTCGTAGTATTGGGAAAATATTGACAGGCGGCATTTGTAAGAAGTATTCGTATCGTTGCTGGATTTAATTCGCAAAAGTGTGAGGAATTATCGATGGTTGGGACGTAAGAGAGTCTTGAATTGTTGTATACGGTTGCGTGTGGGTTTTAATTCGTGATAAATATCGTAAAAGATCGAAAAATATCATCGGAGACATTGTGAGTAATTTATGCGTGTTTTTGAAAATTTGTAATATCGAATAAATTAACGAATATCGAATAAATTAACGAACTGATATTTGCTGATGTGGGTTTTTGTGGCTAGCCCGTTCGCGGGCTAGCCACAATGTAACGCTAAAACTGTAAGAATTGTGAAGTTGTGACGGAACTTGTCGACTGGCTTCGGAAACTGTCGTTGATGGCACGAGGCGATGATATTAAATGCCACAGAAAAGATATCGTATCCTAAAGGATACTGTGATCGTATTAACCTGGTATTAACGAGTAACGACTTTAAAGTGGCAGATATATGGCTCACTCAGCAAAATTTATACAGTTGGCAACTCTCGTAGAAATACTCGAATGAATTTTTCACAGAAACGGTAAGTTAATTTTTGTTATTTCAATCGATATATTTTATGTTTACAATTTGTGAATATGTCAATATCATTGCTAATTCATGTCTGCTCTGGACTCTGCTTCTGGTCAAAGAGATTTTGATCACGCTTCATATAAAGCTTGATAGTGAGTTTACAATCCTGTTTATAATCGAACGTTCTTGCACAGATCTTGCACTTTAATATACCATTATGTGGGTAAATTATATAAGAAGCAAGTCCATTGTTGGCATATTTTACAACAACACTACAACTGGCCCTATCCACTAGCAGGTACAAAACTACAATTAACACAGAAAACAGGCTGGACTATTTTATATTAATATAGTCTATAGTAGTCACTAGCGTGGAAGCTCATGCAGTCTGTTTACATACAGTTGAAGGATCTTCTAGATGGAAGTAATTGAGTGAAAATGTATTATTTTACATTCATTAGACCTATTAAACCAGGAAATACAACTGCACATACAGTAAGTGCAGTATTTTTTTGGATATCTAGTCCAGATGTAAATATATAACTGATGTAAGATCAGTAGGGACGTAGAGACAGGGGTGTGGGTGTGTGGGGGGTGTAAACCCCGCAACTGTGAAACTCGGGTGAAATTGAAGTATAGTGTAAATTTTGACATTTGAGGTAAAATTTGTGTAAAAAAAGTTGTTATATTTGTGAAATGATGACCATTTGACATCCGACACCCCCCCCCCCTCCCAAACTTCAGACGCTTCGCTACATTCCTGAAAAGCTTGTGAAGAAGCAAACCCACAGCTATAATGTGATGAGGTCGTATCGACAAGTTTCAACTTTTCTTTTCAGCATTTAATAACAGCAGTGTCAATTGAGTAGCATGTTCATACTTTTATAGCTACAGTTAAATGTTGTTTAATCCATTTAATACTTTTAAACAATTTGCAGATAAAAGCACAATTCAAAATTATAGTGATGCATGGCATCTACAACTTCAAACAACTAAGCGAACACATATTCTGGTCAATTTGC